TTTCTTTCTTTCTTTCTTTCTTTCTTTCTTTCTTTCTTCCTTCCTTCCTTTCTTTCTTTCTTTCTTTCTTTCTTTATGGCTCAAGATATGTTTAATGCAACAAAGATTTTAATAGAAGAAAACAAAGCCCAGAGTAAGTTAAATATTCAAAGTTAGATTGAGTTATTTGTGACATAGGTATGTCTTGATATAAAATTATATCTATGATTTTTTTCTGAATAAAAAATAGAAGATACAAATCTATACGATTACATTTTTGAAAAAATCTGAAAAGAATTTCAATGAAATATTAAAATATTAATAAGTATTTCTCAGAAGCTTCCTAAGGTTCATTTTTATTTTCCTTCCTCTTTTTCATCCCTGCTTTTAGATTATTCTATAATGATATGTGCATTGTACTCTTTTGTAATAGAAGTATTATTGATTTTTTCATTTTTTAAAAGTAGTTTTTATTGGGCGCCTGGGTGGCTCAGTTGGTTAAGCGACTGCCTTCGGCTCAGGTCATGATCCTGGAGTCCCGGGATCGAGTCCCACATCCGGCTTCCTGCTCAGCAGGGAGTCTGCTTCTCCCTCTGACCCTCTTCCCTCTCGTGCTTTCTATCTCTCATTCTCTCTCTCTCTCAAATAAATAAAATCCTTAAAAAAATTAAAAAAATAAAAGTAGTTTTTATTTATTTATTTTTAAGTAAACTCTACACCCAATGTGGGGCTAAAATTCATGACCTCAGAGCCAAGAGTCCCATGCTCTTCCGGCTGCGCCAGCCAGGTGCCATGCACCTTAAGTGGTTTTAGAATTGCTAACCCATAATCTTCTGAGGAACAAATTTACTAACTAAAATATGGGTGCATATTCATTTTTTATCTTCATTCTTACTATGTCATCGAAATCATGCTTTCCAAAGTTACTTAGACCAGGTTTTTTCTTCCCCACTCCTCTGGTGTGGCTGGCTTTGTTATTTATTACTAAAAGAGTTAAAGTCATTTCTTGTTATTTTTATACCATTTTGGACTCCCCCACATCCTGGTTGATTTGATTATTATTACTGTTATTTTTTGGTATGTGAAGTATTAGCATTGGGTTTTTTTCTCTTTTTTTGCCATTTTATTGATGTATAGTGAATATACAAACACTTCACATATTTTCTTTATTTTCAGTTAGCCAGCAGATAGTGCATCATTAGTTTTTAATGTAGTATAAAAATAAAAATAAAATATAATGGACCTGGTGGGCTTAATACTGTAAATGAGGCATGGATCATGGCCACTTGTGTTCTACAGAGTCTGTTTTTCAGTGCAGTGAAATTTTGCACATACTTTGTAGGAGTAAGTATAGGACACTGTAAAAAAAACAAAACGGGGAATAGTAAGTTAAATACATGATCAACTGAATTCAACCCATATCTTTTTAAATTTAGCTTTTTTAAAATCGAAATTATTCAATGACATAAAGTCAAGTAGCCTGTCAAAGCCTTGCTAGAACAAAAGCAGTATATTGTGCCCCACCCTTTCCCTATTTCTGGGCAAACACACTTTAATCAAACTTATTACTGAAAGTAAGGCAGAAGCAGGTTATGTAAGGGGACATAAATTCTAGGTTTGCTGGAGTGTGGGGAGTGATACCTATTGTCTGTAATGACATTTTCTTCTTTGCAATAAGTATATCTTACTATAGGAAATCCCCATTATCTTCAGTGTCAGAAAAGCCAAAAACAATTCAATGTCTGTTTCAATGTTTATTTTATAATAAATCATGAAAGAAAGGGCTGATCAAAATATTGTCTTGAAAAATGAAATTCAGGGGCGCCTGGGTGGCTCAGTCGATTAAGCATCTGCCTTCGGCTCAGGTCATGATCCCAGGGTCCTGGGATCGAGCCCCACGTCGCTTCTCTTCTGTCTGCCGTTCTCCCTGCTTGTGCTTGCTCTCTCTCTCTGTGTCAAATAAATAAAATCTTTTAAAAAAGCATTAAAAAAATGAAATTGAAAAGCATGAAAAATGTTTATTTTAATTTTACAGTTAACAAAATTTAAGTTACGGTTCCACCCAGGAGCTGATTCTTAGAAGAAAGAAAACTCAATCTGGTCTTACTCAGTTTTGGGGGAAGCTGGAGAGAGGGTCCTTATTTTTCCAATTACACTATTCCTTTATTCAGCATGTGTTTAATAAATGCCTCTTCCATGCCAGTCACTGCTTTAGGCCCTGGAGACACAGTAGTCAGCAGCAAGGTTCCTGTCCTCACAGATCTTATTTTCTAATGAAAGAGAAAGATGATAAATAAATGGGCATAAAAGGGCTATGAAGAAAAATTGAGCAAGATTAAGTAGAGGTGTGGCTTCAGTTGTGCAGATGGTGCTCAAAGCCTGGACAGCACGAATGGAGTCCTTCACTTCAGATTTGATCGCACAGCGTGGTTTGGTAGTCAAGGGCCTCATCAGCTTTTCCAGGGTCCTCCCTTAATCCTCTCTGGAGTATCTTGTTTATGATGAAGTTTAACCTTCATCCCTCTTCAGGTGATAATCCTGCCAGGTCTCCATTTGCCAGTGGTTTTGTGGGATCAGTCCTCCAACAGCACTTTCAGTAAAATCTCATCACTCGCAAGATTGCTTTTGCAGTTGTTTTGCATATGTGACGGGCTGAGTAAGGACAGCCCAATTCATGCTTGTTGTCCCAGCGTTCATTTTTAATAGCACACCCCTTTTCTCTTGGAAGTTCTGTTTGGGGGCGCCTGGGTGGCTCAGTCAGTTAAACGTCTGCCTTCGGCTCAGGTCATGATTGCAGGGTCCTGGGATCGAGTCCCACATCTCATATCAGGCTCCCTGCCGGGGGGCCAGGGGGCCAGGGGGAAGCCTGCTTCTCCCTCTCCCTCTGCCTGCCACTCCCCTTGCTTGTGCTCTCTCTCTCTCTGTCAAATGAATAAATAAAATATTTCTAAAAAAAGAAAAAAAGTTCACAGTTTGGACAATAAGCTCATCAGCCTGTCAATCAAAGATTAATCAACTGACATGGTGGGTGAGGTGTTGAACAAGACTAGATGTTTCTAAGTGGTCAGTCTATTCATAAACATTTTTCTGTTAGGACTTTTGCTTCCCTACAAAACCTCGTAACCGTGGAGACTTGGATGAATAACATTGAACAAAAGAGATCCCCTTTTAGAGTAATGTGAGTCTTGGGTAGCAGCCACCCTGGCAGCCAGTTTCTATTGGTTCGTTGTGGTTTTGAATTAGACATGAACGTGGTGTGGCCCTGCGTCAGCAAGAAGTCAGGCTAATGGTTGTGATCCCAGCGCTGCGGGAGTGTAACATGGCACAGGGCACACAGACCCCTGGTAGTCCTCAGAGGGTACTATTAACATCCATACTTTCTGGCACCTGACAGTGAGTAAAAGCATCTCAGGATCTGTTTAAGTCTAAACACTGAGGACATACTAATGCTTTAAAAGATTAAAATCTACGAACAGAATTGGATGGACTAGAATCTGTTTCCTTCTCCTTCTTTATGTGTTGTAACCTGGAATCGTCATTCCTCAAGATCGAATAACCTTCTTTAAATAATCGTCCTTCTCCAGTCTTATTAAAAAGCTTTACGCAAGGACGGTAGCCGTAGTATTCTCAAGGAGGCTTCTTATTTGTGACTAGTTACTATAAAAAATTAAGGAAAAGCAAAGAATGTGGGTTTCTCCCTACCCATGGCATAAAGTCTATGTATCTTTGTATTTCTGATTATAAATGGGCACTGGAGAGACACAAGAATGGCAAATTCTATGCCCCATAATGTCCTATGGCCTGAATAGGTAGTATTGGGACTTTATTTATGGAACATCAGAAAGAAAATAAGACCATCAAAAAAGGCAAACACTGGAAACGTCTTCTGCCTCTTTGAGTCTGGCCATAAAAAGAACACAGAGCATTGAATTGTCCCAGTGCTCGGGCCTGGGTCTAGCACTTCTCTTGCATTACCGTAGGATGGGAGCTGCTGCCTGACAAAGATAGGGAGTTGGGTGAGATTAGAAAAAGAAGTGGCTAATCATTTACTTCTCTGATTTTTGTCATACTTATTGTATGAAGCAATCATCAGCTTATTCAATAATTGTTTTACTTACGGTACCATTGTCTCCCCAAGGAGAGCTATGTTCCCTTTAAAAAAGCAGGGAATATGCCATAACATCTGGCTAATACTATGAGTATTATAGATAATAATAACAACACAGTTATCACACTTAATAATAAATCCTGCCATGCTCATTTTTTTCATGTTCTGATATCTCTGAAATCACGATGCATCTTACAATGATTTTTAACATATTTTGTCATAGTATAATTGGCAGTGTTTTTTCTTGATAGTATACAAAATAATGCCTGTTTCAGTCAGTGGTGTCTTAGATGAACTACATAAGGGATTTTTTATATTCTTGGCATAAAAACTATTAACTGTATGATAAAATTATTTAGATTCCAACTGGTGTCATATTGACTCTCAGATGATACTCAATGTAGTAAAATTTGAGATATGGTTTAAAAAAAAAAAAGATACTATCCTGAAGTGAGTATTCACTGAGCACGTAAGTATCAAAGGGATGAAGGGCACAGATGAGGCTCCCTGCCTCAAGGCAGATCCAGGAACTCCAACTTGAAGCAAACAGGGAGAGCATTTTGTCCAGAGGAAGGCCCAAGGAGGTAGCGAGTGAACTGGCTTGCCTGGCATTGGGGTTTTCACATTGGGAATCTGGGAAGTCTTCAAGGTCACACCAAAAGAACTTAGATCTGATGTCAAGAGCAGAGGGGTGGGTGCTCTAGGAGTTTGTGTTGAAGCCTCAGGATATCACTTTTGGGTTGGTGGTTAAGCCAGAAAAGAAACTAAAGGGATGAGCCACTTTCCCTCAAGAAAAACAATTTCATTAATCTCTCCTGGAACATTTCAGGTGTGTCTCTTGAACTGAGAAGGCCGAGTTTGCCGGTGCTCCTGTGTAGCCTCCCTCCTCACACTCCCTGTTTCTCCCTCACAGATCGCCTTCTCCCAGCACAGCAATTTTATGGACCTGGTACAGTTCTTCGTGACTTTCTTCAGGTAATTTCACTTCTACAAACCATACCTTCCCTTTTGATTCGGGTACTTAATCCCATTAATTATCAACTCATAGAAGATAATTGAGTAATCCTGTGTTGGCGCAAGAGATCAAACTAACTTTATAGACCTTTCTGAAAAGTTACACGTCAGTTGCAATAATGTAAATTCAGCCTAACCTGATAAATGAAAACATTTGCTTTGTACGTTCCAGCTTTTCATGTACTTTGTACTAAAATGTAGATAATTCGGCTCTTCATATGGGGAGAATTCGGGGTTGAAACAGTACTTAATATGATTACTGATCTGTGCTACAGATATGCTTCCTCTTGTCCGGGATGATTCCGGTGATTATCCAGAGTTTTAAAGCTAAAAGTGACGTGGTAGGCTCTTGGGATTCTTTTCTTTTTATACCTTTTTTAAGTTTAATTTTATTTTTATGAAAATACTGTAGACACATAATTGAAAAAGACACATGCTCCAAGGCTCATAAGAGAAAGTAGCAGCATCCTGCCCCACACCTTCCCATCCTTCACTTCTCCTTTTTTTTTTTTTAAAGATTTTTAATTTATTTATTCATGAGAGACAGAGAGAGAGAGGCAGAGGGAGAAGCAGGCTCCCAAGGAGCAAGGAGCCTGATGCGGGACTCGATCCCAGGACTCTGGGATCATGACCTGAGCCGAAGGCAGACGCTCAACCATCTGAGCCACCCAGGCGCCCCCTTCACTTCTCCTGAGTTTAAATTGTTTTAGCTTTTTTTCACTTCTCTGTGCTTACACTATTTCTTGATTTTTCAGTTCAGTTTCTCTTTGGATGTCCCACTGTAGATGAGGATTTATTATCTCATGTAACCTCATCCATAGCTCCCCACACACCAGAGTACAGACAAAATCCCCTTCCTTCCCCCTCGTGTCATAGAGTTACATCACAGTGCTTGCCTAAATCAGTGCTCCCTGTTTATGTTGTTCTAACTGTAAAACCCTCATTCACAGCTGAGTTGAACTATGATTGTACTTCCCCATTTTTTGGATGGAGTAATTACTCCTTTCGTACCCTAATTCTGGTTTTCTAATTGTTTGGTTTTCTAAGAGGCTACCCGATTTTCCCTGTACTCTGACAGAACTGAAAAATCTGTCTGTGGTCAAATATAAGCAGGCACTCTTCTGGTTTGTTTCCCTTGGAGATGTCTGCATCTAGAACCCTTCAGCCTGCTGCTCCCAGGTGCACTAATTTTGAGGCCGGCTGCATGACTGTCATCTTGGGAATTTCTCTTGCCTTCCTCTTATATTGAAATATAAGATATTAAATATAAGATCTTGTGTCCTCATCTCCCTGTTTATTTCCTCTTTTTAAGTGGGCACATTCTCCAGGAGGTTTTTGAGAAAACAGGCAGGGGAGGTAACTTTTCTGTAACCTTCTCTGTCTGAAAATGTTTTAATTGTTACCCTCCCATTTGATCAAAAGGTTGCATACAGAATTCTAGTTTGGAAATCATTTTCCATTAGAATTGAGAAGGCATTATGCTATTTCTTCTAGCTTCTAGTATTAATATTGAGAAGGCTGTTGCTGTTATAATTCCCATTCCATGTATGAGATCTATTTCTCTCTTTAAAAAATTATATTAAAGTTTTCTATAAAATTACAGAAACACTTATAAAGTAAGTGTCTAGCTCGATGAGTTATCACAAATTGAACACGCACTTTAGAAGCTCCCATGTGTTTCATCAATCACAACCCTCTTCTTCCCCAAAGTAACTATTTACTTGACTTATAAAACCATATATTGGATTAGCCCACTTAAAAAATTTACATACAATCACTGCAGAAACTTTTTTTTTAAGATTTTATTTATTTATTCATTTGACAGAGAGAGAGACACAGCAAGAGAGGGAACACAAGCAGGGGGAGTGGGAGAGGGAGAAGCAGGCTTCTCGCAGAGCAGGGAGCCCGGTGTGGGCCTCGATCTGGGATCATGACCTGAGCCGAAGGCAGACGCTTAACAACTAAGCCACCCAGGCGCCCCCACTGCAGAAATTTTAAAACAGTTTGAATGATCGAGAAAAATTAAAAACTTATGGGATACAATTGAAGTTGTACTTAGAGGGTGTGGCTTTAAATCTGTGGTTCTCAACTGTAGCTGCACAGTAGAATCACTTGGAAAGCTTTTGATGCCCAAACCACATCCCAGAAGAGTCACATCAGAATCTCTGGGGACGGGACTCAAGCATTTGAAAGCTCCCCAGGTGATTGTGACATGCAGCTAAGGTTGAGGATCACTGCTTTATACAAGCAAAATTGGAAAAGGAAAAAAAAAATAACACCTTTCTCAGTAAGTCAGAAAAAAGAACTATCAATTAAAGCTAAAGAAAGTAGAAGGAAGCAATATAAATAGAGTAAAATTAATCATATAGGGGAGGAAGTACAGTAGAGAGGATTAAAAGAACCACAAAGTTGGATCTTCCAAAAGAATAAGAATAATATTGGTAAACCCTGGCAAGATTGACCAAGGAAAAAAGAGAGAAGGTATAAATAATATCAGAAATGTAAAAGGAGGCATTACTCCAAATCCTGTAGACAATTTTTTCCTCCATAAGAATATTTTATGAGCAACTTTCTGCAAATAAATTTAAAAGTGGAACAGATGGAATGGACAATTAGAAAAACAAAGAATATATACTGCTTATGGAAACTGATAAAGAATAGGAATGTGAATATTGAATAGCCCTGTATCTGTTTAAAAACAATACATAACTTAAAATTTTCCCACAAAGATAACTCTAGGCCCAGGCGGCTTCATTGGTAACTTATAACCTTTAAGAAAGATAATATCATTAGTAACCAAATCTTCTAGAGAACAAAAAACAAAGAAATACATCCAAGTTCATTTTATGAACTTAGCACAACCTGACAAGAATATTATGAGAATGGAATTTACAAGCCAGTCTCATTCATGAATGGAGAAGCAAAAATCCACCAGTAATGTAAAAAGGCAACTAGATCATGACCCAGTTGGGTTCATTCCAGGAATTGCAAAGTTGATTTATCATCAGAAAATCAGTCTGTGTAATTAACATTAATTGCATAACAAGAGAATAATGTGATCATCTTAATCAGTGAGGAAAAGCCTTTGATGAAATTTGATATCATTCATTAAAAAGCTCCTAGGAAACTCGGGATAGAAAGAAACTTCTTTAAATCTGATAAAGGACCAATATATAAAGCCAACAGCAAACCACATTCTTAATGGTAAAATGTTACAAACTTTCCCTTTGAGTTTGGGAACAAGACAAAGATTCTGTCAGGGGCGCCTGGCTGGCTCCGTCAGTGGAGCGTGCGACTCTTGATCTCAAGGTGGTGAGTTGAAGCCCCACATGGGGCATGGAGCCTACTTAAAAAGAAAAAAAAAAAGATTCTATCAGTCACTTCATTCAACATTGTGACAAAGGTTCTAGCCAATACAGTTAAGACAAGAAAAATAAAATACATAAGAATTGGAAAAGAAGAAAATCATCATACAATATGATTGTATTTCTAGGAATTCAAAAGAATCTGCAGGAAAAATATTAGAATTGACAGGTGAATTCAGCAAAGTTGCTAGACACAAGGGCAATATTAAAAAATTCTTTGTCATTCGGAGGCATATATCTTTTGCAGCTCTTACTGGTAAAGGCAGATAGTGGCATGAAAACCACATTAATTAATTGTATTTCCCATAGTGAGCCATTAGGTGCCCTCCCCTTTCAACCATGAAAGAAATCCCTTCCTGAGTGATGCCGGGGAGCAGATGGCCTCGTGTCAAGATTCAGCCACATCCTGATGGGCCCATTTCTGCCTGCTGTAAACTGTAGCCTTTAGTTTCTGGATGATGATGACATCTCCACCAAGAAGTAACTGTTGCATCCCTCCAGTCTTGAAGGGAGAGAAAATCTGATAAAAGCATTCAGTGTTTCTAGGGGAAAAAATCAATTGCATTTCTAGATTTCACTAACAAAAATGAAATTTACATGTTTGTGTTACTTCAGTAATAAGATTGTTCGAAATTACAGGATAACAAGATCAAGAAAGAATTACCAAGAAAAAATGGAGAGGGTGGGGAGATCATCGGCTGGCCCTCACAGACAGTAAACACTTTGTCAAGCTACAGTGATCAGTGTGGCACTGGCACAAAATCAGATTAACCAGTGGAATATGTACATAACCAAGGAAACAGATATAAGTTTAAAAGTCTCAGATTTGTTTGAAGTGATGAAATACTAAATAGAAATAAAAAGTAGACAGTTATAAACAAGAAGCTAAAAGATCAGTATAGACTTAATAGCCACTAGTCACATGTAGCTCGTGAGCACTTGAAATGTAGCTAGTATGACCAAGAAACTGAATTTTTCACTTTATCTAATTTAACTAATTTAAATATAATTTAAAACTAATTTAAATATAAATTTTAAAACTACTTGATTCAGTTACCAGAGAACTTGTGTGTTTAGAACAACCTGGATATGTGAATCTGCTTTTTCAAATGTGAATTTTATGAAATTTAAATACAGATCAAATAGTTTCTGATAAAAATTGTGTTCACATTGAGATGTACGTATAAAATATACACTGGATTTTGAAGACTTAGTAGAATATTAGAACGTAAGATCTTTTTATATTGGTCACATGTTCAAACAATTTGGCAATCTTGGGTTAAATAAAACTTATTAAAATTAATTTCACCTGTTTCTTTTTTAATGTGGCTACTAGAACTTTTAAAATTACATATATGGCTCACATTAAATTTCTGTTGAACAACAATGCTTAGATAAAGTAAAGGGAAAATTTTGTAGGGACAACATAAAAAGATATCATGAAATAATGCTAGGGGTGCCTGGGTGGCTCAGTCTTTGGGCGTCTGCCTTCGGCTCAGGTCATGATCCCAGGGTCCTGGGATTGAGCCCCACATCGGGCCCTCTGCTCAGTGGGAGGCCTGCTTCTCCCTCTCCCTCTGCCTGCCGCTCTGCCTA